ATTGATCCCTATAACCTTCTGCTTTGATTAGTTGATCAGATGCAATTTCTGTGGCAAATTCCTTGTATCTTGGCCCTTGTCGACCTTTCAGGGCTTTTAGTATATCTCTACCGTTCTCTCAGTAGCTTGACCTCACGAACTTGCTAGGCTGATCCTCATAATCCCATTTGGACAGTGGCCATTCACCTAGCTGCTCCCAATAAGTGTCGTTGTAATGCCATCTCTTGCATGACCTTTTTGGACGATTCTCCTTATTCTTCTTTGTCTGGAACGATCCTGTAAAAGGCTTTGCATCTAGGGCATAGTCCGTTCTTGACCACATCTAGATGCACTTGGAGACCTAGCAAAACATATGGCTTACTCTTAGAGTCTTCCTCTAATGACTCAGCCTAAGAAGTATTTTCTTTCTCTCTCCTTGGCTTCTTGTTATCAGTCGACTTGTCTTCACCCAATTCTATCTTTTTTCTTAGGGTCTTCGACTACCCTACTTCCACCATTTTAATGGCAGTTGTCTTCTAGAAAGGGTTTGTGTCAACCCCTNATCTGGAACGATCCTGTAAAAGGCTTTGCATATGGGGCATAGTCCGTTCTTGACCACATCTAGATGCTCTTGGAGACCTAGCAAAACATATGGCTTACTCTTAGAGTCTTCCTCTAATGACTCATCCTAAGGAGAATTTTCTTTCTCTCTCCTTGGCTTCTTGTTATCAGTCGACTTGTCTTCACCCAATTCTATCTTTTTTCTTAGGGTCTTTGACTACCCTACTTCCACCATTTTAATGGCAGTTGTCTTCTAGAAAGGGTTTGTGTCAACCCCTATCTTCGGCTTCCATTTATCCTTGAATATCAAATGACCTTTGCTCAGGCCATCCTGGATGGCATTCCAAAACACCAAACAGTTAACAGTAGAATAGCTCCACAAATTGTGCCATTTGTAGTATGTCTTATTCGTCAACTCTATGGCCGATGGAATCTTGTGACCGAATGATGGCTTGATAATGCTATCAGCTAACAGATGGTCAAAGATTTGATCAGCCTTTGCAATGTCGAACTCATAATTTTTGGTTGTTACCTTCGTTGGTTCCCTTTTCAACATTTGGCGTGGCCAGTGTTTGACTCTTTGGAAGCCTGGTTAAGGCCTTGCACACATGTGGTCATCTCGCCATGATTTTTACCATATTCCTCTCCAACTCTTGGTTTAGCTCGACTATGAATATTTCGGTGTTGGAATTCCTATAATATGTTCCTTTGGGCATGTTTCTTTGATCCAACTCCTCATGCAGGATTTGTTCATACCGGGAAGCCTGCGTTGCCAGCTCGAATGGGTCATTGAACTCCATTCTCTCGAACTTCTTCTAGAGCTTAAAACCTAGACCGTTCTGCACAATGTGCACATAATCCATCTCTAGCATTGCCAACCTACATCGGTACCTGGCTTTCTTGAAACGTGCGATGTTCCGTCATCTCCCCAATCATTTGTTACAATTTGGCCAAATCAGCCATAACTACTTTCGACTCAGTACGGTAGAATTGAGTGTGGAACTTATCTTCAAGTTGCTGCTAAGCATTGAATTGGGCGGCAGATCAATGTACCATATGAAGGCCGTTCCCTCTTGGCCTTCTTGAAACGTGCGATGTTCTACTTTTTCCCCAATCATCTGTTACAATTTGGCTAAATCAGCTATTACTACTTCCAGCTTAGTGAGGTAGAATTAAGTGTGCAACTTATCTTCAAGCTCCTGCTAAGCACAAAATTGGGCGGTAGATCGATATACCATCTGAAGGCTGTTCCCGTGAGGTGTCAAGTAGCCTTAGTTTCAAAAACTCATTAGCCCATACTTGGCCACACTGAACAGTGAAACGGTCAATGTGCTCCATTATTGACTGACAGTTTTCTCCCAAAAATGTAGCGAATACCATGACCTTGTATCCCGAAGGATACTCATAATCCTTATCTATCCAGTTGGGATATGGTTTCTGATATGTCGACTTATTGACCCTCCTCATGGCGGGACCTACATATTCCTGAATAATCTTGTCTAGTTGTTCTCTGTTCATAACCACTTAGGTTTTTTTGCCTCCCAACCTCGGATTAGGAATCTCTTCCTCTTGAAAAAGAGGATTGTTGTTACACCTGTAGCCATTCCTAGCTTGTCGTGCCCTTGTGGTGACACATACGGGAGAAGCATTGGCTGTGGAGTTTCTATTGGAATTGCCTCTACAGGGGGAAACAATTGCTTTTTTATGCCCCCTAAACAATTCAAATTGTCAGCAAGCCGCTCCAATGCTTGTTTGGTGCGGCCAAATTCTTCTCTGATCAAATCCCTTAGTCCTTGAATAAACCCAGAGACCTACTAAGAGACTTGATGCGATAAAGCTTTGATTAAGGCCTCCAGCTCTTAGTCGGATTCACAGTTTTCTTGCCCCTCGAGTGGAGGCAACTCTTCTTGTAGGTTGGGGATGCCAGTCCTGCTCTCTTCACAACCTCTTGCACTGGAGGAAGTTTTGATGCCCCAATTTTGGATTTTCGTTGGGTATTCGCCATGCTGATTCTTGGGGTCCCATTGGATATGCCAAAAAAAAAATATATTTGACATACTTTAGATTGCGAGCATGTCAAAGTCTGAATAGATTTAAAATCCAAACACTTACGACCTTATCTACTTGAACCGGCGTGAGGTTCTAAAATCGTGACTGTTCAAGTGATTATAGCGAGACGTAAGACTATCTCTGAATTTTTTTCTATGCCTTATGGTTCAAGAATTTTAAATAATTTCTCAAAATAGAAGCGTAATGGACTACACCGTAAAGAGAATAATGAGAATAAAAAGTAGCAAGTGAATTAAATCTGAACACGAAACAAGTATTGAACTTAATATTAAATAAAAGCAGTAAAAGATCACTGGAGTTATGATTACAAAAAAAATCAAATTGCTTGGAAGCAAGAATTAGCTCTGTGAAGAGTTTTTGTGTTTAATTGTGGGATCCTTTTTCAGTGACTTAACCTCTACTATTTATGGAGATGACTTTCAATCGTCGACTCATCTTTTCCAGCCATTACTGTGATCGTGGCATTGTCTCTCGAGATATGTGGACGTGCGTTGAATCGTCGTCATTTGGCTGTTTATGATATCACGTTTTCTTGTTTTTCGTGATTCTAAGAGTCTCATTTCTCTAACTGTTCTGCCAATCGTGGACTCTCACAGACTCTTGTGTGACCGTCGGATCTCTTTCATGTGTCACCTTTTGATCTCTCTATTTTTAGGAGTAAACATCAACTTATATACCGCTTATGCAATACATGAATCCCTCTATAAACGAATACAAAGGTCGGGTACCAGTTGAGCAAATATTGAAATAAATTGACTTAAAAACAATATAAACTCAACGTTACGCGATCCATTAACGACCCTATAATTTATCCACTCAGTGAATGCACATGCAGCTGCCTATGTCAGCTCTCTTAATTTCTTACCATTGAATGTTAGATAGAAACCGATCGACATATAAATTCTTGACACAAAACCTACGGTGGTCCGCCCCTGGCATCAACACATTGAATCTTTCTACGAGCCTAACAGAATATCGAACAAAGTCAGTAATAAGGTTTGAACGTTACAAAATAGAAGGGTAGATTTCATAAACATCCCTTAAACTATGAGTTTTGTTTTAAAATTCACTTAACTTTTTTTTTATTCCTAATTTATCTCTTAAACTATGTAATTGGTTGCAATTGACACATTCGATTAGTTTTAGGCATCAAACGACACAGATTCAAGTGTGTGAGATGCACATGGGATAGGGACAAAAAAGGTTTAGGGGCGTTTTGAAACAAAGGTCATAGTTTAAGGGATATTCATAAAATTTACCTAAAAATGGAATTGGGTGCCCATCCCTTTTCCTTAGGCCCCAGAATTTCAGATATAAAACTCCCAAACATGAATCAAACTTTAATGTTTGAAGTGTGCGTAAATTAAATTAGGCATCCTGTTTATTAAGCAAAAAAAAATAAAAAATCCAAACGTTTCCTTCGATTGACATGCATCAAGCAAGACCTATCTATCACAGGGTTTCCACCCAGTTAATAATCCCTTTTTCAATGCATCACGCAGTACAAGGACTCCATGAAAAACAGGTTTGTGCTTCCTCTATTGACCTCCTTACCAACTCACAATAGTCCCATAATCTTACTCTGCCCGGCAATTCACCTATGCAACTTCCAGTTCCTTTCTCTTATGCTCTTTTAATTTGCATTCGTGATATGTTAACCATCCACTCTATCCTATCAGTTTTCATCGTAGTTATATAACTATAGATTTATACCTTATTCCAACCTTGATTTAACATTGTTACACAAAAGATAGGATCAAATAGTACTTTTATGAGAAACATTTGTATAGATTAGATTAAAACCAATTATACACTCTCATCCTTTTGTTTGTACTCGAACCAAACATGTCAGGATAGTCAAAATGAACCTCATCATCTGTTGAGTTGGCAGACCTTTTGAAATACTCACTTTCACTTAGTATCAAAAAGAATTTTCATAGCAAGAATACTTTTTCAAACAGCGTGATATTAGCACTCTTTTGTATCAGAATAAAATAATGCTAGTGGGCATATCATTCGATTCAAAAATTAATTGCATACAAAAAACAAGAAAATTCTATTTGTACAGCATTATTCTTTAAAAGAGATCCCTAGCTAAATTCAGCAGATCGGAACTGTGTATTCTTTGCAGAGCACAGGAGGGAATAATAATCCCTTGGTTGGTGGTTGTGGTGCGTTATAGTATGATTTCTTTGAGGATCAAGAATACCCCAAATACAAGAAAGATCCTTGGCGAAGAGTTGGCATCTACCAATGCCTTATGTGTAATGAATGTACTTGTTTTTGTCTACATTACTTGAAGGTTGACAGAAACCATTCTTTGGGAGTACTAAGAAAATTAAGTACCAGTACCCCCATTAGATTGATTCTTATATGTTGAAACTTGATAACCTTAATATAAATCCTGTATTGTTTTGCCAAACAAAAAAGTTCAACATACTGTCATGATTAACAAACTTAAAGGAAACATATATACGTCTAAATCCCCTGAAGTACCACTAGGAAGAATTTCGAACAAAACGATCAAACACCCCAAGAAGCTTTATACCTTGCACTTAGAAGCTTCTAAAAGCATAAAAACTTGTACAAGCATCAATTGACGGAGGCTCGAGCAAAATGATGAACTACGAACCCAAGAAGCCATCTACCTTCTTGTTTGTAGATGCAGATAAAAACTTCATGCAAATAGGAGCTTGCACACCAGCTAAAGAAAGAATAGCAGCCGGAATTCCCCACAAAGAGTCACCACAGATTAGCCCAGACGCAACAGCCGGCCCGAGTTCCTTTGCTTTTTTCTTGTTGTTCAGTTCCCATATGAAGAGAATCAAGCTCCCAAGGCACATGTCAATGGCGAAGTAAGCACCAAGGTAGAATGGAATCGCCATGCACATAGGGCTCGGAACAAACCTGTAGATCTTGTACTTGGTTTCATTTTGCTTCAAGATCAAGGTCAGAAAGTTTAGGAGAATGGCAGCTATGAAAAACACAATAACAAGTGTGAGGCAATTCTTTGGAAGGGAAGAGAACCCCTCGACTCCAAGAAGGGCGATCCCACGATACATCAAGGCATAGGGTGCAGGGTACGAACCATCTGGATCACCTACGTTATAGGCCTTGTAGAAGAACCAAAATACTAAAGGTGAGGTGAGGCAACCAATGGCAGTACCAATAAATTGGCTGCAGAACATCGAAAGAGGGGATGAAAGTGTTAAATAGCCTGTTTTAAAGTCTTGCATCAGATCAGAAGCCGTAGATACAATGTTCATCATCACACCGCAAGAAACGAGGCCGGCAAGAACCCCACCATGGTCTAGCCCAACCCAAGAACTGAAAACCAGGATGGCGATTTTTCCATAATTCGAGGCAAGTGACCAGTCAGTGAGACCGCATCCATAGGCATTGCAGAAGGCCAAAACAGGCGCAATCAAGTAAGCAACCAGTATGTGGTACCATTTTAGCTGAGGGAAAAGGGCGGGCACCGCACCAATACATGCGGCTGCCAGGGCAACATATCCTAATACCGCAAATTTATTGGGGATTTGATCTTTTTCAAAGTACTCACGTCTTCGTTGGTCATCATAGTTCACAATCTGGACGTTTGAAGATGGATCTGCACAGTCCGTCATTACGGAGGAAGATTCTTCCTTTTTAGATTTCTGTTTTATGAAACTATGGGATGTCACTATTATCATGTAGACAACTTGGAAAAGGCCATCCCCAAGCATCATGGCAATAGCAAGAAAAACCTGTCAAGGTTCACAAAAACAAAAGTGAAAAATGTGTTTACTTACAATGTTCTGCACAAATCACCACAAAATTCAATTAAAGCAAATCTTTTGTAGAACGGTACTCATGTCAATGTTACTTGAGTCGTGAGTTACACGAGTATGGATATATGGTACAACATTTTTTTAGATACGCGGTATGATAAAGATATATTTAGTTGGTATGGTATTTTGGATCACAATCTATTTTAAAACTCTTATGTAGATTGTTTTGACTATTATATAACATTTTATANCTTCTTATAGCATTAGTTTTGCATAATCTTGAATACCTGTCTAAAGTCTTATGCAAGTACCCCAATTTATTGAATCACTAGAAGTAGAAGCAGTTATCAAGGCATCCTTTTTCTCTATCCTTTTTAATTTGTTACTATGCCTTTTATGCATATCAATGCCTATGAAGTATGAACCAATCTGCTTAGAGCTTATAATATGTTTCATCCACAGTCCAATGCCTCCAGTATTAAAACTGCCTATTTTGCTTACATACAACAGAAATTAAGCAAACNGTCAAACGTAAAAATATTGTTTAAACCTAAAAATTTGATCTAATTTATCGATATAATGACATGATTTTATAAGAATTATTAGATCAACACCAAGTTCTAATATTTAATAAGGTCTATAGTGAATCCAAATGTCACAGTGAATTAGGTCGGTAAATTATATCAGTAAATTAGCTCCCAATAACATTGCTCGTATGAAAAACTTCTATAAATATTAGAATTTCTGATCTTTTGGGAGTCCACATGCTAAAAATAACTACTAATATTTTCAAAATATGAATTTTTAAGAAACGTGAGATGCAACCGTTTTTTAACTTTGAGGTTAATGAGGTGCCCGCGTTCAAGGCCCGTTAGTTGGATTCTATATTTATTATACTTTAAAATTTCTTCGATTCATGTATGTGTTGTTATCGACTAATCATAGGTAAAAATAATTGCTCTCAAAACTCAAACAAATGAAGACAGTACATTTATTATAAGAATATGATCATATGTTAGTTCCAAAATAATAAGATACTCTCTTCGTTCTTAAATATCTGTCGTTTAAGGTTTTTGCACAGAGATTAAAAAAACTATTAAATAGCTCTAATATGATTAAAAAATAATTACACAAGACTAAAATACCTTTATTTAATACGTATTGGAAAGGAAAAGAATATGAAAGACACTTAGCCTCCACTAAATCTAATGCATTGAAAAGTTAAAGGTAAATTTGGAACAAAAAATATTAATTATGCTTTGGTTTCATTAAACAACAGATATTATGGAACAAAAAAAATTATATAAAACGACAGACATTTAGGAACGGAGTGAGTAGTAAATTTAAGCATATATGTTTGTTCTAGATTTTATTTTTCTATTAATAAGAAGAGTAAACCATAAAGTCCAATATCTAGTTGCAAGTGAAGATAATCAATTGGGGTCAAACACTGTCCGCCCCCATCATCTCTCGCTGTCTTCTTCCTTACCAGCACTTACCCCACGTTTTACTTCTTCAAGTTTATGGATGAAGAGTCAATGTCCAAAATTCTTGAAGCAGTTCCATGGATTTTCGCAGAAAGAGCCTGAATGCTCAAAAAGTGGCAACCACATCTTTCCTTTACTAAGGAGGATCACTCGATTATAGCTATAGGGGTTAAATTATTCAACATTCCTTAATTTGCAGTTTTGGAATGCTGAGGGACTAAGCCACATTGCTAGTTCTATTGGACAACTCCTATATGCAGATTCTCTCACCTCTAGCAAGAGGAGGATTAGCTTTGCTCGAATCTGCATTGAGGTCAAGGCTATTTATTTATTGAAGTGTATGTTGAGCAGCCTCATTCTATAATCTAGCTCAGGATGAAGGTCAAGATGATAGTTCCAACAAGAAGTACTTTGTTTAATCAATCATTCATACAAACACATAGTGTGCTCAAATTGAAAGTGTATATGTAAAAACAAAAAATAAAACAATAAATTTGTTGACGTAGAAACTCATCTCAGGAAAAATTATGGGGAGGGTTCACCACAGAATCTATTATCCCAATGTCAGCTTTTAAGTACTTGAGTCTTACACCTCAACCAATACTATGGTTAGACGCTCCCTTCCTTCAATAAGCCTCTCTGCCAAAGCACCTCTTTGACGTCTTGGATAACTTCATTAGATTCTCCACTGCAATGGATCCTCTAGACTTCGAGAATTCCTAGGAATCACCCAAGATTCTCGGTATGCACATTTTCAATAGGTTTGGTATTCCACTAAGTAAGTTCTTCTTCAAATTGTGAGGTTGGATGAGAATCACTAGATGACAGCCTTTGGGTTTAGGGATCTAGGGTTGTGGTGCAAGCTATTAAGGGGTAAGATATATTTTTCTTGCTCAAAATACTTACAAGAGGCTTACCTAGGGGTACAAAAGATTTTCCCTATTTATAGGTCCAAAATAAGTGCAATATTGATGAACAAGAAAACATAAATTCGCAAATGATTGCTCGAATAGTAAGAGGGTGATCATAGGGCGATGGTCACAAGAATGAAAACAAAATTTCAAACTGACCTTGTGATTAACCATTAAAAGTGTCATTTTATTATATTTAATGATTGATTAATTACATATTATTTGAGGTAATATATATTAAATTTCTTGTTTTTCTAGCTTGATAATTGTTTTAGTTGTTTGATTTATTTTACAGCTAATTTGGTTGATTTAATTAATAATAAATAAGATAAGTGAAGCAAATATTAGAGGAAGAGTCACATTTGAGAAGGAGATATTTGATAAGGATCAAATGGTCAAGATTAAAAGATGAAAATTTGAAGATAAGGTAGTGCACAATTTAATCATTGTGTGAGTCCAAATTAGAAGAAAACTCATTTAGAGTTAGATTAGGAAAGAATTCTAGAAGGTCAGGTTTGGATAAAGATTCTAGAAGATAAAGTTTTGATACGTCTTCGGTAATTTGGTCATAATTTTTGATTTTGATGTCCGATTGATCTAATTTTTGCGAAATTGGAAAGAAAACTTCAATATCTATAAAAGTGTAGTCGAACATTTCGTGAATTGACCTCTAACTATTCGAATATTTATCTTGATTTTTTAGTAGATATGATACCCGTGCCCCCCAAGATTTGATACATGAGATTTGACCTAAAAAGACTTCTTTTTGGAAAAGATTGCTCCCAAGCCAACTCTAGACCTCTACCTATACCTAGACTTATAAATAAAGGCCCTCACCTGTTGAGAGAGCATCCTATCTTGTGAATTGTAAATTGAATACTTATATTTTATGAAATTATTTTTCTTATGCTTTAAAGTTATATTTTCTTGAAATTATAAATTGATTGAATGATTTTCAGTTAAGTTTTATGTTCTGTAAAATTAATCAATTATTCAATAACTTGATTGAGTTTTTGGTATGAATAATGTTTTTAATTCTCTACAAATTTCATAGAAGTCGTTCTTCAATTCTTATTTTCAAATTAATCAAATATTGTGTTTTTTAAAATTAAATCTTTCAATTGACTGCACTAGTGTTGGAAATCAATTGAGATAAATTGTAATTGCATAAACATAGATATTTGACGAACATGAATAGAACAAGATCTCGACTAAAGAGTCGTTTTTCCAATTGATAAATCACTTTTAAAATTTTTTGCTTTTATTTTATTAACAATTTCAATTTTCAAAATCAATTTTTACATTTTCGTTTTTTACCTATTTTTGTAATTTTGGATCTCTATGGTACGACCTCAGACTTCCGAATATTTACCACTTCTTGACCATTTACACTTGGGTTTACCTATTCGGTATCAAACAAGTTTTTGGCATTGTTACTGATATTGAAAGATAAATTCAAAAGTAGAAAAAAAGGAATCCGTCTTCACCAACGAGCTACTTGGAGAAATCCTTTTTAGGGTAATGTCATTTTATTCTGTAGTCTACTTTTGATTTACTGTTGCAATTATAATTCCTAGTTCTTCTTCTTATTTTTGTTTTATTTTTTCGTTTAGTTGTATTCATCCTTAATTCTACATTGCATGTCTAGTGGAGAAAACTCAAACTTTGATCAAGTTGAATCCCCATTCAAAGAGACACATTATTTGAGAGTTTCTGGATGTGAAACTCGGCCTCACCTGCTAGTTTAGACAATTGGGCTACTACTTCCGAAGAGGGGAAATACATATTGAATGAGAAAGATGACCTTAGGACCAGATGACCACCTTGTCTTGAAAGCTCAAAGCTTTAGAGATAAGGAGGATAAATGAAGTCATTGATGTGTCTCCAATGAAACAAGTGTATGAGATATTTGCACTGTTAGGGCATCATACGGGGTAATGCCCCACCATTTCAACTTTAAGGAGGCTTTATTAGAGCAATCCAATGCAATCTCTGGATTCAATATATCCTACTCCAACCTATATTTTGAGACTTATAATTTAGGTTGAAAAAATCACTCGAACTATAGTTGAAGAGCAATCAACAAACACAGTATCCCCCAGTCGATCACCCACCACAAGGATTGGCACCATCACAATATCCACCATACCAACTACCACGGATAAGGAGTATAGAGGATGTCTTAAATCAATCCATGCAAAGTTAGATGCATTTCCATACACATACTTCACAATCAATAAATGACATTAAGAGTCACCTTAAAAAATTGACCAGGTCTATGTCCACTCAAGAGAAGAGTAAATTTCCTACCCAACCTAAACCACCACAGGGTCTATTTCAAATAGGTATATCTCCCACTTCTGATGCACCATTTGAGCATGTACAATCATCACCACCCTTTGGAGTGGTAAGGTTGTAAACAAGACCATAGCTCTTAAAGAGTCTAATTCCATAATCAAGTCTACACTAGTTTCCCATGATGAACTGTACCTAAGGGAAAAGAGGACTCACCATGTCCCAAACCAGCTCCTTTTTCCTCCAAAGGTTGATGAAGCAAAAAAAGGTAAATTACCACGCTAAATTTTTTTATTTATTTACGTAGGTCAAGATAAATATTCCTTTGCTCGATGCCATAAAATAGGTTCCTTCTTATGCCAAGTTCTTAAAGGATTTGTGCACTATCAAT